ACACATTTGCTAAGAGAGACCCCCTCAGATCAAAAAATACGGACAATGCTATGGAGTGGTTGGTTGATAATGATGAGGTCAAGGGGCATGAAAGATTGACATGGGACATGGTCATGGATGCCTCAAGGACATCAGCTGACCCACCTAGGGCCATAGGTCTTCTTCACAAAGGACGAGAGTGGAGGAAGAGGAGGAAGCATAGGCAAATTCATAAGAGATAGAGGAGGACGACCATTATGTCAAGAAAGGAGATGATGACGATGATAATGGCATCGACTCCGATGCATATGATGTAAATGTAGAGATGCAGATGCAGCTGACCCTACTTTTCTTTATGATGAATAATGATAGAAGATTCGTTTGAGTCTTTAAGTATTTCTTTCCTTTTTGTTTTCCTCCTATTGGTTGTGTATTGTGGATTTGTGGTTCCACTGGTTTGGTAATTTTAGTAATCTAGTTAGTAAATTTTAAGTTTTAACTATGTGTGGACTATCAAACTATGGATAATTAGATATAGACTTATGGTTATGGTCTTATGGAGTATGGAGGAGTGTGTGCTATATGTTGTGTACTATACTTTGATGCGCCCTAAATCCCTAATTCTTATGTTTTATACATATTATTAAACTACAGAGACATTTTTCTTTCTACTGGGCTGCCCAAGTTTTGGGCACCCGAGAGCCTGGCCCCCCAGGCCGCCTAAGACCCACCTAATGCTTTTTGAAACACTGCGTAGCCATTGATTTGGAAAATATTTCCAGAGAGTGGTTATCAAGAAATTTCTAGAGAAGTTTCCTAGCTACTTAAACAAAAAAAAATTGTTGGATATTTCTAGAAGTTTCCTAGAAATTTCCTGGGATAATAATTTAACTTTGTTCTAGGTTTCTTTGGAACCTTTAAGAATCCTTCTTCTAGATTTAGGGATGCATCGGCCTTCAAAACAAAATATGGACTCTATGAGTGGTTAGTAATGCCATTCGGGTTGTCGAACACTCCTAACACATTTATGAGGCTAATGGTACAAGTCATGCACCCCTTATGGGAAAATTTCTGGTTGTATATTTTGATGACATCTTGATCTATAGCAAGAATGAAGAATCCCATAAGGAACACCTAAGAAAGGTCTTTCAAGCCTTATGAGGAGTAAAATTATGTCAATTTGAAGAAGTGCTCTTTTATGATAGATCGTGTGGTCTTTTTAGCTACATAGTACCGCTAAAGGATTCATGTAGATCAAGATAAAGTTAAAGCCATTGTGGAGTGGCCAACACCAAAATCTCTATTCGAAGTACGAAGTTTCCATGGGCTAGCCACCTTCTACCGCCGGTTCATCAGGAATTTCACTCTATTATTGCACCAGTCACTGCTTGCATGAAACAAGGGGAGTTTCAATGGGATCAAGCTGCTGAAGAAAGTTTTAGAATCCAAAAGCAAAACATGATTGAGGCTCTAGTGATGGCTCTTCCACACTTCGCTAAAGTTTTTGAGCTTGAATGTGATGCTTCACACAATGGAATTAGCGCAGTTCTTAGTCAAGAAGGCCACATGTATCCTTCTTCAATGAAAGCTCAATGTAGGCAAGGTATGATACTCGACTTATGATATTGAATTTTATGAGATCATCCAAGGACTTCATCATTGGAGGCATTATCTGATTCAAACAGAATTTACCTTATACTCGGATCACAAAGCTTCACATTATTTAAATTCATCAAAGAAGTTGAATTCCCTACATGCAAAATGGACAGCATATCCTCAAGAGTTTACCTTCACTATCTGCCATAGGTCGGGAGCTATGAACAAGGTCACTAATGCGTTTAGTCGAAGGGCCTATCTCCTTCAAACCTTCACTTATGTGGCAATTGGATTAGATAATTTATCCCAAAATTATGAAAATGACCCATATTTTCAAGAAATCCTAAAGAAATGCCAAACTCAAGGAACTTATCTGGATTTCATCCTTCATGAAGGCTTTTTATTCAAAGGAAATCACCAGAGTATTCCCTTAAAACTTAAAATAATTTTGAACTGCACAGTGGTGGTCTAGGGGGACATTTTGGTCAAAACAAGACCCAAGAGCTTGTACAAGAAAGGTGCTTTTGGACTAAATTAAAAGCGAATGTTCGAAGATTTCTTTTTTGAGAACTATTAACATTGTATTACTAAGACAGTAAAAATTTACAAGAGGAGTGGAACTGAAAGCACCCTCGTAGGGTGACAATCAGTAAAAAAAAAATACATTAGTCATCCATGGTAAGATAGGCTTATAAGAACGCCCACTTTACAAGATATACAGTCAGATATACAAAATAACGAACGAAGTTGTCACTTGCTCATAAGAAGTGGGCCCAATAGTATGGCTGAGGTCCTGAACAAAAAAGGAGTTGGACCTATCCTAGTTGTCAATGTCGAAGCTAACTCCCTCCATCGCCAGAAGATCTGCGAGAGCGTTGGACGTCCTCCAGGTATCCTCCATGAGACGTTCGTACCCCTACAGATATGAGTAATTTCATCAAAAATAGGTCACAGTTGCCAAGGTGGAGCGGACAAGCCTCTTGCCCAAGATATGGTGTTCAAGGAGTCTCCTTCCACGGTCGGAGATGTAACCCAGGAGGGATTGAGAAATCGCAAGCCCAGAAGTAGGGCCATTGCTTCTGCATGTTGGGAATCAGAGGTCCCGAGGAACACAAAGAAAGTGAAGAGGACTTTTCGCTGGCAATCTCTGAAGACCCACCTTGCTCCTGAGGGGCCGAGATTGCCTAGAGAGCAGCCATCAAAGTTGAGCTTGATGCTGCCCTCTGGTGGTGATTGCCAATTACTAGCTCTTAAGGGTTTTGCCGATCTGTGACTGAGGATGTTTTCCCATTGAGAGAGAAGAGTATTTCTAGAAATACCCGAGAAAGTCTTGTGATTTGCCGCCCAGAAAGTGATCAGCAAGACAACCTTGTGAAAGAGAGCAGATGGTTGGAGCTGAATCCCATGGACAATTCTATTGTTCCTTTCTAGCCGTAGAGTCCAGATGGTGGCAGCCATTGTTGCCTTCCATAAGGATTTTCCAGCCAAAGGCCACTGTGCATCGAAGTTGAAACAGATCAAAGCCTTAACCGTGGGTGGAGTAACCCATTGGAAACCGAAAAGTAGAAGCACTTGGGACCAAAGTTTAAGGCAAAAACAACAATGAATGAATAGGTGGGGGTTGGTTTCCTCACACAAACAGAGAGAACATCTGTTGTAGATGGAGAGGCCTCTTTTTTGAAGTTGGTCAACTGTGAGGGGTCTTTGATAGCAGGCAATCCAGTTAAAGAACTGAATCTTAGGGGGGGCAATGGTGGACCAAACCTTAGACGAGATGGAGGTTGGGTTGAGAGGAAAGGTTAGGGGTTGGATGAGACTACTGTAGAAAGAGGTGACAAAAAAAGAGCTTAGGGGGAGAGGCTCCAGACATTGGTATCGCTCCCCAGGAGAGGGAGGAAATGCAAGGAGAGAGTAAACGAAAGTTGCTGGAACATAGCACTTTTGTCATCCAAGAGGTTTCTTCTAAAGGAGGGAGACCAGATTCTCCTTCTACCCGAGAGAGGCATCTCCTCGACAATGGTAGAGTTAAGGTTGGAGGTGAGAGAAGAGGGTTGGGAAGGTCTTGCATAGAGGAGATGTACCCAGCCAAAGATCGGTCCAAAACTTGACCCTAAGGCCTTCTCTGGCATGAAATCTTATGTGCTTTCTAAATCGTGGCAATGAAGATGCTTAACCCCAGACGGCCTGTGTTTTTGTATCCTTTCTGGTAACCAAGTTTCGTCTGAAAGTTTGTACTTGGAGAGTAACACCTGAGCCCAGAGAGAGCCTGGTTGGGAGGCTATTCGCCACCACCATTTGCCGAGGAGGGCTGTGTTTTGTTTTCTGAGGGACCTGATTCCTAAACCCCTTTGCTTTCTAGGAAGGCAGATGGAGTCCCAAGCAACGAGGTGGAATTTGGTCTTCTCTGCCTGTCTAGACCAAAGGAAATTTCGCATAAGATGTTCTATGCGGTTGGCCACTTGTGCTGGGATTTGGAAAAGGGACATGTAGTAAACCGGAGTATTTGCCAAAGTAGCTTTGATCAGAGTTGCTCTTCCTGCTGGAGAAAGGTATCTGCTTTTCCAAGAGGCAAGACGTCTCTCTACTTTATCCAGAACCTGAGACCAAAGTCTCTTTTTAGGTTTCCCCAGACCCAGGGGAAGGCCTAAGTAAGTGGAAGGGAGGTCTTCCACCTGACATTCCCAACCTGGGATGAGGGCCCCTACCTCAGCAATTGTCATGGCAACCCCCACCATTTTGGATTTCTGCATATTCACTTTGAATCCTGTAGCTTTCTCAAAGCACAGGATAAAGAGTTTGAGCGTCTCGATTTCCTTTCGAGAAGCGTTGAGGAAGACGAGGGTGTCATCTGCATATTGCAAATGTGACACCAATGGGTCGTGGTTACAAGTTTTGAAGCCGAAAGAAGCCCGGATTAGTAAAGGCGGGAAAGGGTTCTGGAGAAGACTTCCGCAGCAATGGCAAAAAGGAATGGGGAGAGAGGATCCCCTTGACAGAGTCCCCTGTGAGCTGGGAAGTACCCTTTCGGTGACCCATTGATGAGGATGGAGAGATGTGGATGAGAGTAACAACCTATCATCCAGTTCCTCCGTCGATCCCTGAACCCCATTCTCACCATGGTATGTTCCAAGATGGACCAGTCAACGTGGTCATAGGCTTTCTCCCAATCTATTTTGAAGATTAAGCCTGGTTTCTTAGCAAGATGCCTTGAGTGGAGGCACTCATTGGCCACCAGGACCCCATCCAGAATCTGTCTATTTTGAATGAAGGCTGATTGAGAAGGAGAGATGACTGTGGAGAGGACACGTTGAAGTCTAGAAGCAAGGACCTTAGCCAAAATTTTGCAGATTGAGTTCAGGAGGCTAATTGGTCTAAAGTCCTTGATTTCCTCTGCCCCTTCGACCTTAGGAACCAGGGCGATGAAGGTGGCATTAATGGCTTTATGGATAATACCCCTTTGGAAGAACTCCTCGAAAAAAACAAAGAAGTCAGAATGGAAAGTGTTCCAGAAGGTTTTGAAGGGTGCGATCAGGAAACCGTCTGGGCCAAGGGCTTTGATGGCATGAAGGATTTCAATCTCGGAGAAGGGTAGCTCTAACGAGGCTGCTAAATCTTCAAGGACGAGCAAGAAATCTAGGTCAGCCATTCTTGGCCTTGGGCCAGCAGGGGCAGTGTAAAGGTTTTGGAAGAACCCAATAATGGCCTACGCAATATCTACTGGTTGGACCAAAACCTGTTGTTAACTCTGAGCATCGAGATGGAGTTGTCCCTTTTGCGACAGTTGGCTATTCGGTGGAAGAAACTGGTGTTAAGGTCTCCCACTTTTAACCACTTGATCCTCGATCTCTGGAACCAGTAGATTTCTTCTTTTTTCAGGGTGGATAGGTAATCAAGTTTGGTTTGGATTTTGACGTTAAGTTCCTAAGTATCCAAAGCTCTGGTTTCTTCTAGATGGTCAAGGCGTTGAATGGGGTCAAGGCGAAGAGATTTAGTATGGGAAAAATTGCCAGGCAATGACTTACTCCAAGTTTTGAGGGAGGCTTTGAGAAGCTGATGTTTAGTCTGAAGTCTGTAGCCTGCTCTAGCCCTAACCGGAGGTGAAAAGGAAGCCCAACAAGTGGGTAGCAGAGAAAGAAGGGAAGCCTCTTCTAGCCAGGCTAGTTCGAACCTGAAAGGTTTAGGTCCTCTGTGAACAGCATTGGTATCCAACAAGATAGGGCAGTGGTCAGAGGTAGGTTTGGGTAAGGCCAAGGCAAGGGAACCCAGGAAAGATTCCTCCCAGTTAGTAGAGAAGAGGACACGGTCCAATTTTGAAAGGGAGGGATTTGGGGAGTGGTTAGAACAAGTAAAGCAACTGCCTCGGAGAGCGGTATCAATGAGTTTATTTCTAGCAATGAAATCAGCAAAGTCCCTCATGTCCTGGTTTATGGAGTAAGAAACGTTATGCTCATAGGACCATCTTGTCACGTTAAAGTCTCCTCCCAAAACCCACGAAGGGTGTGGGAGAGCTGCAACATGATGTAGTTCAGACCAGAAATTGTGTCTGAGCGAGGAAGAGTTGGGCCCATAGACAGCAGTGAATTTCCAAGGGAACCCGTCAGGGATGCTAGAAAGGAGGATGGTCACAAAGAATTCCCCCAAAAAAGAGGAGATAAGGGTGTGTTCCAACGGATTCCATAAAACCCAGATGCCTCCCGAAGCTCCATTCGCCAGTAGAGCAACCCACTGGGTAGGCTTCTTGCCCCAAATTTGGCGAATGAGCTGCACAGTGGGCTCTGGTAGTTTGGTTTCGACAAGGGCTAAGATGGTGGGAGAATGTTTGAGAGAAAGATCTTTGACGGCATTCTTTTTGGACTGTTGACCAAATCCCCTAATATTCCAAGTGATGAGCTTCATGATATAGAGGGAGAGGGGGGGAGGAGGCCAACTTGGAAGACCTCCTGGGGCAAGAAGTTAAAATAGCGAGAGGGGGATCCTGGAGAGGCTTGTCCTGAAAAGAGGGTAAAGAGAAAAGGCTGATGAGTTCTCTCTGTCCTTTGGATCTCACCTTGACCCTGCTTTGTCCATCGGCAGTAAGAAACTTGTGGGGCCGGTCCGTCGTGGTGGAATCCCATGATCCTATACATTTCCTTCATTTTTTCATCGATGTTAGTGTCCCTTGCATCTTCTGCTTCCCCCTCCCCAATGCAAGGGGGTGTGGGAGGGTTAGATGGCTGACTAAGATTATCAGGGAGGTCAGCAATAGGAGCCGACTGCCTGTTAGGACTGAAAGGGGGTAGAGGTTAGGGGGTAAAGAATGGAGGGGCTCAGGTGAAGGCACAGACACGGGGGGAGAGGGGCGCGCAGGGAGAGGCTCAGGCGCAAGGGTAAGAGTGGAGAAGAGGGGTTCCCGACTGGAAAGGGGGTTGGAGAGTGAAGGTGGCTAGGTAACAAAAGGCGGATACAACGGAGGGGAGGACTCCTAGTAAATGGAAGGGGATACATAGGGCCAATTGTAAGCTAAAGGGTACTCTGAGAGCTGAACGAGGGGGGGAGGCGAAATGAAAGAAGGGAGATGGGTAAACATCTGAACAGAGGAGAGGGTAGTGAGGAGAGAGGGGTGGGAAGATGGCCAAGTGAAATGGAGGGAGTTAACCTTGGTGAAGCAGACCAGGTGAGGAGTGTAGGAAAGGTAAGGAGTCAACATGGAGGAAATGTAGTTAGGGTCCGGGGGAGAAAGGTCCCAAGACTGGGTGGTCACGATGCCTTGGGGGAGACGGTTACTGTCCATAGAGAGAGGGAAAGGGTTGCCAGAAGGCAGCAAAGGAAAAAGGGACGGTGCGAGGATGTCAAAGAGGCAGAGGGGGTGGTAGGTGATGGAGAGAAGAGGGCGAAGATGGGGCAAGACCAAGGAAGAAGGAGGTGAGGAAGGCAGCGTCGGCGATGAGCCCTTATTCCTTGACTCCTGAAAAAGGATGGGGGGCAAAGATCCTCAGGTATCTTGTTGGACAAGCCAAGAGAATGAGGCGGGGATGGCAAAGGAACGAGGGGAGGGAAGGAGGGAGGAGACATTTCGCCAGAGAAAAAGGGTGGCGAAGACGGCTTTGGTGACTGATGGTCTGCAGGGGCACAAGAGGGTGACGAGTGGCAAGGAGCTACGATCGAGGGGAGCGAAGGTGGAAAAAGGTGGCCGGGGGGCGATCGAGGATGAGAAAGAGGAGCATGGTGGACAAGTGGGCAAGAGAAGTCGACTCCGTGCAGGTAAGGTCAGGCAGTGTCGGGAGATAGGTAAAGGCCGCGCACGACACGTGGCTTGGGGAGCGGTAGGGAGCTGACAGGTGGACGGGAGTTGAAGGGACGCGAGAAGGAAGAAGGGCCCAAGTCGGAAAACGGGCCAGGAGGGAGAGAAAGAGGGAGGAGATCGTTGCGGGCCTCCTTATCGGGTCGGTGGGAAAGAGTAAGTGAGGCGAGTGTGGACGGGCCAGTGGGAGCCTGGTTGCGACATGGCGGGTCAGAATGAGGTGGCGACTGAAACGGCTGGGTTGAAGACGGGAAGGGCAAGAGGTCTCAATGGCGGATCCTGGTGGCAGACGGATCAGGAGGCTTTCGTCATCTTCTTCTCAGCCGCTCCTTCTTGGAAACCAAAGTCCAGCAAGCAGACTGCTTATCCTGTACTGTTACGGGAGCAACTTGGTGAAGGAAGTGGGGAGAGGGAGGAGAGGCCCAAGACCAAGAAGTCGGGATAGGAAAGTAAAGGTCGTCAATCTCAATCCACAGAGTTTTGGGGATAAGACAGGGGTCTGAAACTTCCACCAGAACTTGAATTGAACCTAGTAGAAGGGTTTCAATTGAAATTCAGTGGATCGAAATGAGGGAACCACAGGCACTCGCAGGTCCCCAGAATGTGACAGGGGACCACACTAAAAGGGAATGCGGCTGAAGGTGATCCACACCCTTTGTTTACAAACAGACCCCTCTGAAGGTGACCAGGCCCTTAGGAGACAGCGGGCTCCATGGAAAGAGAAAGAATTGGAATTCTTTAGAGCAAGCTGGGCAAGATTCGAGGAAGGGAAGGAGAACAGAATATCGCCTTTAGCAAGGAGATTACAGGCGATATTTGAATCCCCCCAGTGTTTTTTAGCTGCTCTTTCAATCCCTCTAATGTTGTGTCGCCCAGGCTGGAACGAACCAACAAGGGCCACGAGGAGCTTGGGCTTAGACTTCGAAGTCTCAACTGGAGGGATGGAGATGCAGAAAGGGAGAAAAGGAGACCTAGTGGTTGCTGCAAGTGAAAGTTGCCGCTGCCGTTGAAGAGGCTGAGGGGGGGTGCTGGGATCAGAGACAGGCTTGGGGAAGGCAGCCACCTGAGAATAGGAGGGCTGAGAAGAGGGATGGGAGGAAGGATGCGAGGTAGAGGGCAAGGATCTAGAAAAAGGAAGGAGAGGCGGAGAGGGTGAGGAGGTTCTGGGGTAGAGATTGTAGATGTCGTTCCAACATCTGTGAGGAGGGAGAGGAGGGCGAGAGAGAGGAGGATGAGGGCAAGAGAGAGTTCAATTTTGGAAGATTTGTTGAAAGATGTGGGATCTGTTAGTGTGCAAAAGGATGCACACAAAATTTTGGTTTATACACCCCACTACCCATCCCTACAAAACCTTGGGTGAATGTTAATCTAGACTTTGTGGTATGGGACTTTCAAGAACAAGGCAAAACCTGGATTCTATATTAGTTGTTGATCGTTTTTCTAAGATGGCCCACTTCATACCCTGTAAAAATGTAACAGATGCTACTCGGACTTCCTTTCTTATTCTTTCGGGAAGTCATGAGTCTTCATAGGGACACACGGTTTGTTAGCCACTTTTGGAGAACATTATGGCAACTCATAGGCACTCAATTACAATTCAGTAGCGCCTATCACCCACAAACTTATGGGCAATAGAGGTCATCAATAGAACCTTAGGAAATCTCCTTCGAAGTCTTGCAGGAGATCGACCAGGGTCATGGGATTTTGTGCTTGCACAAGTTGAGTTCGCCTACAGCACTTCAAATTATCGTTCAACGGACAAAACACCATTTGAAATTGCAAATGGGTGAACGCCATTGCACATTTTGGATGTGATACCGATATCAAACCTTAGGCGTTTTAGTGCAAATGGCGTTGATCTGACTGGCCATTTGAAGTCGATGACAATGTTCATTGTAAGTTAGCTGAGGCATATGAACAATATAAGGCTGCTGCTAACAAAAGTTGTCACAAAGGAGTTTAATCAAGGGAATCCGGTTGTAGTACACCTCCGTCGAGAAAGGTTCCCAATGGGAAAATATCATAAAAACAAACACCAGAAGATAGGACCGTGTTCAATCTTGAAACACATTAGGGCAAATGCCTATCGCCTCGAGTTACCTAAAGGAATAGTGATCAGCCCAGTTTTCAGCATTATAGACTTTTTCAAATATCATGGAGAAGCTTATGCTATCAATTGGGACAAGGTCTGAGACAATATACCTATGGAGGAGAATGAGTGCATTCAGCATTACAGATTTATTCAAATATCATGGAGAAGCTTATGCTATCAAATGGGACAAGGTCTGAGACAATATACATATGGAAGAGAATGAATGCATTCTTAACACCATTTATACCCGAAATATAATGATCAGTAAAGGATAACTCACTCAATAAGTAGTGCAGTGGAAAGACAAACTTGAATCTGAAGACACGTAGCTACCAAAGGAGCAATTGAAAGAGACAAAATTGGAAATATGAAGGTCCGTAGTCGATAACTCGAGGATGAGTTATTTTGAAGGGCGGTGATTGATGCATCCCTAAATCTAGAAGAAGGATTCTTGAACCTTCCAACGAAACCTATAACAAAGTTTCTCTAAAAAAAAAAAAAAATATAACAAAGTTAAATTATTATCCCAAGAAATTTCTAAAATATCTCTCTTGAAATATCCAGCAATAAATTATTGTTTAAAAAATTATTTAAGAACCTTCTATAGAAATTTCTTGATAACCCCTCTCTAGAAATATCTACTAATCAATGACAAAAATTTAGTCCAACGAATCATGGCCAAGATTTGACAATCTGAGTACCAAAATTAGCCTATAAATACCCCCAAATATAAATACCCCTCAAAGGGTCGATTCCACAACTTAGAATTGAGACTTATCTTGAGCTTTCTTTGAGCGTCTCTAAGTGGTGAGTGGTGAGTGATTCCCACTTCAGGTTGAGTAATTCCCTCATTGTTTGTTCCCTTCTTATAAAAAACAAATCTATCTTTGTTTATTGAAATAAAAGAATGAAGTTATATTATATTGTGCCCTATCTCTTATTCCTCTTGACTTAGAATACATCAAGACAGAAGAAAAAAAAAAGCTAGAACAGCGACACTAACTCTGGTTCCTTTACAAAAACCAATAAACAAGGTTTCTAATATTTGTAACCCTAAGAAATGTCTGGTTCCTTTACAAAAACCAATAAACAAGGTTTCTAATGTCTGTAACCCTAAGAAATGGCGCTTGGAAGATGCAAGAATGAAACGCCCCGATACGTATAGCGTTGACAAGAGAGAGAAACTAGATGGTTTAGAGAGAGAAAGCGAGGTTAAGAGGAGCGAGAAAGCACCTGGAATAGGAGAGAGAAGGGCGAATATGTGCATTAGACAGCCATCATCTAAAGCATTTACAGGCGCCGAGGAGGAGGAACAATAAGCTCTCTTTCCCTTCGCCTGCTTCTCCTCCATCGTTGGGCTACCATCCACCGAACGCAGAGAGAGAGAAACACAAGGATTTACTCTGCAGTCTGCAGTCAAGAGAGGGAAGGTGACGGCCGCGATCTGCCGTGACCCATGAATGATCCAATATCTGAGCGCTCCTTCGCGACTTCCAGAATTATAATATGCTGAACAGATTCTATGCTCCGGCGGGTCTATTTCTCCTCTTGAGCCTTAAGTAAGACCCCATTTAAGAGCGTTTTTACACCCCAAATTTCGTAATGTTTCGTCTTCAATGTGACCAACCTCGTAAAAAGACGGGCGTGGTTTGTATTGGGTGTCGACTTTTAAAGTAAGGTACACTTTCAAGTTATGTGGAAAGATGCTTAGGTGCTAAAATTTAAATTTATTTTTAGAAAGGTATGATTATCTATTATCACCCCTGATCATGAAATTTACGATCTTTAAAATATGAAGATCTATGTAGATCTATAAACACTTGAAAATCAAGGACACATATGGTTATGATAATATGCTACAAGATATAAATTTTTATGACTTAAAATCTTTTTTTTTTATATCAATATATCTCATATCTTTAATGAAGGGTTTTCTGGCATCAGAACAATTTTTTTCGATTTTTGAGGTATTAATGTCTTACAAATTTTAAAAAAGAATTTAAAATTTCAAAAAAAGGATTTAAACTCGATGTGCCTGAAAATAAATAACCCTTAAATACGCACCATCCAATCTTAAGTTGGTATAATATAAATATCAACTCAAAATTTAGTTTTTTTATGGGTATTAATAAGGGGTCAATTCATCTTAAGTGATCTAGAACTTTGAGGAGAGATATCATGCCTCACATGATTTCTCAAAAGTTCTAGATCAACTTCCCAAGTATCATTATGGGGTTGGCGATCAAGGCATATCCTGGTGACCAACGGATTTGGATGATGAAGCAAATAGTGTCCAATTTATGTTATTATTGGACCAGATGCATATGGTGCCTTATTAAGCATATCTGCGAGGTTCCACCTCATTTTGATATAATTTGATGAGATTTGACATAGTTCGTATCAAACCCCTCTTTGACAGACAACAGATATAAACATATATCATATTGTATCCAAACTCCTTCAATATTGTGTGGAGAAACATATAGATGCCAAGAGAATATAAGTTCCAGAGTTGATCTCAAATGGAGATGGTCAACCTTCAAGATGTACAATGACTAGTTGTCAGGACTTTCAAGGCATATGGTGTCCTTGTATGGCAAGTCCCAACACTGTTACACCCCGTTATCATATTTAAAGTGTATCCTATGAATACATTAAAGGGCCGTTTGGATAACTGGAAATATATTGTCTGTGAAATATATTTCTGACATAATATATCACATGGAAATGGATTGTTATTGTTTGAGTAGTATTTAGATACAACTTGGGAAATACATGGCTAATGTTTGGTTATGTCTGGAAGAAATATGGGAAATGCATTACCAACATTTTACTAGCACTTGCCTATAAACTATCATTTATTTCTATTTTTTGTCACAAAATTTCACTAAAATACGGAATTAAAGTCATCATCAAATCATTCCAAAAAGATTTTCTAATAATAACATCATCACCATTCCAAAAAGATTTTCTAATGATAACTTATACCATTCTAAAGTCATCATCACACAACTTTTTACTTATTTTGCATGACTTTGGTACTTACATGGAATCACATGTCTTCTAACATGATTAGACTTCGGTTTCAACATGATAAGTCATTGGAATAATATGATTGGAATAACATGTTTTTATTGTGATAAACCTTATTTTTATTTATTTTTTTACATAAGTCTTTCAAATGTCTCCTATATAATTTCAAATAAGCAATAAATTTATGATACCAAATTAAAAATCTTTATGGTACAAGTTAAAAAATGGGAAGAAGTTTGATCAGTAAACTAGAAGGTTTGGTAATTGCAGTAGAAAATTTTGAGGTATTGGAGGAAACTAAAGAGGTATCTTATTTCAATTGACCTTTACTAATCTCTTATGAGGATTATATTGGGTGAAATTTTTTATTATACTTGTGTTGTTCAATTTCTTGTGTTAGGTGAAATTTTTTATAATAATTGTGTTGTGTAATTTCTCATTGATTAGATATGCTAAGGAGAATGAATACGTTAAGGAGAGAGGGAGAATGGAAAAAAATCCAGATGAGAGAGTAAAGGGACTTAAAAAAAAAAAAGGAAAAAGCCCAGATGAGCGGAAGGGGCTTAAAGATAAAAGGAGCTTAAAGATAAGAAAAAGAAAAAAGGAAGGGGCGTACAGAGAGAGAGCATCTTTTGCAAACTAGTTATTAGGGTTCAAGAGAGAGGGGACAGGTTTAAAGAGGGAGGGAGCAAACCGAGCAGGCGGGTTGGCATTTTATTAAGCTGGGATATGGTAGAGGGACGCACGCGAAAGATTTCTAAAGATTATTGAGATTTTTCACCTTTCACTGCGCGTAATGTGTTTCATGATTTTTGGGGAAATCTCGGGTAATATCTTTCAATTTCCTTACTATAAAGTGTACCCAAACGGTGGAAATGTCATATTTCCTCATAATCAATTGTCATGTAATAGATTTCTAGGTACCCAAACAGCCCCTAAGAGATCATATTCTTTGGTCTTATATTTTGTTAAAGAATTTATTCACCGAAAATAAGAAGAAATGAACTTAGAGCATGTACGTGGTTCTGCTATACACGAAGAATGAAGAAATACGGTTTTATTATCCCTTTTTCTGATAGCCTCCTTACAATTTATAAGTTGATGTGAAGATCCAAAAAATAAAGGAAACACCCAAGTACACGGTTTTCATAGAGTATGCCAGCTCTACACTGTATGCGAACTGTATACCATGTTAGCACTCCCCCTCAAGTCGGTCCAAATAGATTGAAAGCACCCAACTTGCCAAGAATCTATTTAGGCCTCTTTTTTTCAACAGCTTTGGTAAATATGTCTACAAGTTGATTTTCATTGTTGATATATGGAGCATGAATTATTTTAGCTTGAACTTTTTCCCTGACGAAATGACAGTCAACTTTGATATGTTTGGTTCTTTTATGAAAAACTGGATTGGAAGCGATGTGGATTGCAGCTTGATTGTCACAATACATTTTGATTGGAGAACCATACATAAAACCAAGTTCTTGGATGAGAGCTTTAAGTCATATAAGTTCACATGCAGTGGAAGCCATAAATCGATATTCTGCTTCAACACTAGAATGAGCCACAACATTTTGTTTCTTGCTTTTCCACGTAACAATATTTCCACCAACAAATGTGCAGAAACCAGTAGTCGATTTTCTATATGATGGATTCCATGACCAATCAGCATCACAATACCCAAGAATATCAACTTGACAATTTTTATGCATCCAAATCCATTACCAGGAGAACCCTTGAGGTATCTTATGATCTTCTCGACAGCTTCCATATGAGAAGTACGAGGAGCATGCATGAATTGGCTCACCATACTTACAACATAAGTTATATCTGGTCTTGTGATGGTTAAATATATTAATTTTCCTACCAACCGTTGATACCTTCCAATATCTTTAAGAAGTTGACCACCTTCAATAGTTAACTTAGAATTCATTACAATAGGAGTCTCACTAGGTTTAACTCCTAATTTGGCAGTTTCTTCCAAAAGGTCAAGAGTATATTTCCTTTGATAGAGAAAAATGGCATGTTTTGAATAAGTCACTTCAACTCCCAAAAAAAAATACTTTAATTTGCCCAAATCCTTTAGGTCGAATACATGGTGGAGGTAATTCTTAAGATGAGTAATATCTTGGGCATCATTCCCAGTGACAATGATATCATCGACATAAACAAGAACCACAACAGTTCCATTTTCCCCTTTTTCTATAACCATAGATGAATCTGCATTACATCTTTTAAAATTATATGTTTCCAAGGAAGAGTTTAACTTTGCGTACCGAGCCTTAGGGGATTGCTTTAAGCCATAAATAGCCTTTTTTAACTTGCACAACAGACTGGAATTTTTATGAGGATATCCTTGAGGAATTTTCATATAAACTTCTTCCCCAAGGTTGCCTTGCAGGAACGCATTTTTAACATCAATTTGATATAGAGGCCAATCATAATTAGAGGCGATTGATGAAGTTATTCATTTTAACAACAAGAACAAATGTCTCCTCATAATCTTCGTCGTAGGTTTGAGTGAACCCTTTAGGAACAAGTCGTGCCTTGTATCTCTCTATAGTTCTATTGCTGTTATATTTTATTTTATAAATCCATTTATTCCCAGCCACCTTTTTCCCTTTGGGTAATTCGACTAGTTCCCAAGTTTTATTTTTGTTGAGGGCCCAAAGCTCTTCTTCCATAGCCTTTTTCTTGGCATGGTAAGAAGAAGCCTCTTGAAAGCTGAGAGGTTCTTGAATGGCAGATATACAACAAAGTTACGAACTATATTCTTGAGAGACATTGGAATAATTAAAAAACTTTTGAATTGGGTAATTGGTGGAAACATTAAAAAAGTGAAAATCACGATACTTGGGAGTTGAACATTTCTTCGAGTACTACTGGGTCCCACTTGGGGATTAGATGGTAAGGGATTGGTTTCTTGAGGTTCTTCATCATTTCTAGCTTCCACCTCATTTTGAATGTTATGATTGAGTTTGTTCTCCACATAGTCTTCACCTGAAATCAAAGGCATCACATGATTCTCCCCCTGAACATTCCTTATACATGGGAACTTGGGGAAAGTAAGGTTCATTTTCTTAAAAAATAACATCATGGGAGATAATAACAGTTTTTGAAAAATTATCATAGCATTTATATGCCTTTTGAGTGGGACTATATCCAAAAAACATGCATTTCCTTGCCTTTGAACTTAATTTATCAGAATTTTGATTGTGAACATAACATGTACAACCAAATATCTTCAAGTGTGATAGAGAACTTTTCTTTCCCTTTAACATTTCAACTGT